GTTATTAAGAAACTTTAGTTAAAATTTAAAATTTTTTATAAATCTCATTGTATTAACTACTGAACCCTCTACTAAACTCTTGAAAATTATTAAAAACTTTCTAATTAAGAGTAATATAGAAGTAATAACTGCAATATTCTATTTTTTGCTCTTAAAAAATAACTAATTTCAAAAATCAAAATTAATTACAACTAAAAGATAAGACTTATACTATCAAAAAAATCTATATATAGTCAGACCTCTCTAAATATATGTTATTAGGACCAGCTTTGGAGTATGCATTTAGAGAGAGTTGCAATTAAAAAACACTAATAAAATCACAACATGCCTATTATTATGTAATAAACACAACTTTATTAGCCAAAATAATAGATATAATTGGTTGATAATCATGTGAATGCATTTATGAAAGAAGTTTTTATAAGTGGGCCAGATAATTAGCATGCAATTACAGAATAAAGTACATGCATTTATCTATAAGTTCTACCATAAGCCTGGGCTTATATTATGCATTTAGGGATCTGACTGTACAAACTATCTATAAACAACATTATCTTTTATTTGTCTAATCTACTATAACTAATAAAAAGAATTGGTTTAATTTAAACAAAAATATTTTATTTTTAAGAAAGTCTATATCTTTATTCTTTTTAATAATAAAAAAATTCTTGAACTACTCAAATACAAAACTTTATAAGTTACTTTACTGAAATCTACAAGAAATACAAGTTGGCTATATATATGTTTGCTAATTGCTTTTATAATCAATATTATTACTACTATCAATATAGATATATTTTTGTATATTAACCCAAACAAACTTCTAAGCAAGACCTTTGTAAAACCTGCTTTTACTCTGACCATCTCTATAGAAACTACTCTTAAAATAAATACTGTCAATATAATCAATATAGTCACATTAGAATAGATTACCCTTACTGATTTTAAGTTTAACAATTAAAAATACAGATATAAATGCTTTTCTAATAAAGTTAATAACCAATAGCAAAGCTATTACTCTTGCAAAAAAGTAAACTATTGCTGCTAATACAAAGTACTCCAAAAGCCTTATTATGTTAATTTTATATTTAAGAAAAACTAATTATTTCGTTATCACATGCAATTTTACTTTTTTTGGTTCTGTAACTATTTAGCAATTTAAGTGAGTAAATTTTGCATCTTCATTATACGTATGCACGTTTCTCATCAGAATGTGTTTTAGGAACTAAACATTTCTTAACTAAAGATGTAGTAAAATAAGTAGCAGAAATAATAGAAAGTAAAATAGCGGCCAAATGAATTACAATTTCTTCTTGCTCATATGAAATTCCTATTAAAGTAAATGCAATAACCTGAAAGGAAAGAAATAATCATGAGAAGAAAGAATAATCATTCTTTAGATATATAAATAGCGTGTATGACTAACAATCGATTATATAATTTTTCTAAAAATATATATAGTACGGTATAGCATAAAATACCTAATTTTCAAAATAC